CCCAGCAGTTACCCCAACACACACACTGAGCTCCCCCCACATTCCCCCCCCCAACCCCCCAGCCTTGGCTCTTGCCAACTAACCTCCGCCTAATACTCTCCAGAAATAGGTAAACCTCAGTGGTAGGTGTTGTCAGTGACCAGCCCCCCACCCACACACAAACTCAGCACCCCCACCGCCGCAGCTCCCCCACCTCCCCCCCCCACAGACACACACACAGCCCCCATAGAGTGACCTCCCACACACACACACCAAGCCCCCACCATCAACGCCAAGCGGAATTCACCCCATTCCCCAGAGAAGATCCACAGCCAAGTGAACACCCCCCATCCTCTTTCCCACCACCCCGGGACCTGGTTAAACACACAAGCTGCTGCCCCCCCCCCACCGCCCCCCGCCACACCCAACCAGGCCTGACCTGCAGTGAGGCTCCGTGTAAGATAATGGATTCCCGAACTCTGACCCCGGCTCCGATGGTCACCCCCGTCCCGATAGACACGTTAGGCCCCAGCTGGGGGGGAAAGGTCAGAGAACCATTACCATACAGACCACTGTCTCACCAGGCGGATGGGGGGGGGGGCGCTGTGCGGGAGTAGGAGGGTCGTTCATTTACGGAGAAGGAGCTCTGTGTTTGTGTGTGAGAGGGGGCTGTGTGTGTGGGAGGGGGCTGTGTGTGTGGGAGGGGGCTGTGTGTGTGTGAGAGGGGGCTGTGTGTGTGTGAGAGGGGGCTGTGTGTGAGTGAGCGAGGGGGCTGTGTGTGTTGGGGGGGAGGGTGACAGCACCTACCACTGCGGAGGGATCAATGGTTGCTGTTGGGTGGATGTAAACGTTTCCTGGAAAATGAAAAATAGAAGTCAGAATGATTGGGATTTGGGAGACTCCTGGTCAACGTGGGAGCGTGTGCGGGTGGGGATGACTGTGTGGGGGTGTGGGTGGGTATGTGGGTAGGGGAATAGTGGGCGAGGAGGCAGAATGGACTAACCAAAGCAAACAACAGCTGTTTCGCCCACAAAATACACAGTCACTACACTTTACAGTATATTCTGTGAAGCGCTTTGAGACGTCTCAATGACGAGATAGTTGGAGGGATTATTATTATTATAACTCAGCAAAAAGTTGGCTCCAGGCAGCCCTGCTCCCACCCAACACCCTCCACACTGCTGGTCGGGACATACCGAGGATGGTGGGTCCCTCCTGTGTGTGGGGGGCCAGCCGGTCAGGGTGGGAGCTCTCGTACTGGTTCAGGTACAAGCGATTAGCGTAAATAGCGGACCTGAGGACAGAGGACAGCTTACTGTAGCAGATACACAGAAAGAGAGGGGGGGAGAGAGAGAAGAGAGAGGGAAACAGGAGAGAGTCAGAAAGAGAGACAAAAGAGAGAAGACTAGACGGAGGGAGACATAGAGGGAGGGAGGGGGGGCAGAAAGAGACAGACAGAGGGAGACAGAGAGACAGACAGATGTCGAGAGGGAGGGAGAGAGATAAATAGACAGACAGTCAGGGAGGGAGCGAGATGGAGAGACATAAAAAGAAAGACAGAAAGAGAGAGAGAGAGGATGAAGGAGCGATATGGAGAGAAAGAGACAGAGAGAAGGGAGAGGGACAGATAGAGAGATAAAGTTGGAGACACACAGACTTAGAGAGAGATAGTGAAGGAGAGACATACAGAGAATGAGGGAGAGGGACAAAGAGAGAGTTGCAGACAGAGAAAGAGTGTGTGGGTGCTGTTACCCTGCTGACTTGATTTGGCTCCAGAAGCCGTCAGTCTTATAGACGTAGAGATCACCGCGACCGGCTAGAGCCGTGAAGACATCCTGCTCCAGGCGGATCACTTCAGCCCTGTGCCAGCCATTACCCTCCTCACTGTGGGCACAGAGAGCTCCGTCACCCCCACACCCAGCCCCAACATCACATCATTACCCCCACCCCAACACCCAGCCTCCTCCCCCCAACCCCCTGCCAACACACCAACCCAACCCACCACCTCGGCTCGGTGCCAGCCATTACCATCCTCACTGTGGGCACAGAGAGCTCCGTCACCCCCAGTCCACATTGCCAACACCCCCCACACTCAGCCCCCCACCCCAACAAACCCTCCCCCAACCCTAACATCTTCACACACACCCACCCTGAGCAAGGTCGCCATGCTCCACAACCTTCTACACCCACCCACTCCATTACCATGCCCGGCATTCACACTGACAAGCATAGAACCCACACAGCACAGCAACCAGGGTAACACACGGGGGGTGGAGGGGCGGGAAATAAGAGGAGAGTGCGGGGGAGAGAGAGGGGGGGTAAGGGGACGGGAGACTGAATGTAAATGAGACACACAGAGAAATGAGTGAAAGCCACGAGCTTGCAATCGAAACAAGGCGGGGGGGGCGGGGTGGTATATACACAATAACCCCCCCTCCCACAGCAGTGAGTTAGAGGCTGGAACCCAACCCAGGGGTTTGTCTGGGATGGGTTGTATATCTTGGATAACAACCCCCAACACCCCCCGCCCACCCCACACGGGAGGGAGTTACAGGCTGGAGTGGAAGCTTCAAACAGCGAAAAGCGAAGGTTAGTAGGTTAGTGCTGGGGTTGGGGTCAGGGACGGGCTATGGGGAGGAATGGGTTAAAGCCCGCACACAGCACATTGTCTCTGACTTACGTTATTATTTCCATCAACCATCAGTAGAAGACTTAAAGCCAATTTTATTACTAATAAAAATAACAACAGTAGAACTCATACAAGTCTCATCTGTCTCCACAAAAGAAGAGGATGCACCAATGCCACAGTATCTGAGGAGAGGGTAGAGAAATTGGATAAGAAAAGAATAAACCGAGAGGAGGTACTGAAAGGTACTGTTGGTGCTCAAGGTAGACAGGTCACCCGGTCCGGACGGGAGGCATCCGAGGTTACTGAGGGAAGTGAGGGTGGAAATAATGGAGGCTCTGGCCACAATCTTTCAATCCTCCTTGGACACCGGGGCGGATCCAGAGGACTGGAGGGTTGCAAATGTTACTGCTCTGTACAAAAAGGGGCAGAAGGGTAAACCCGGGAACTACAGGCCAGTCAGCCTAACGTCAGGAGCGGGGAAAATTCTAGAGACTATAATCCGGGACAAAATAAATACATGAACTGTGTGGGAGACAAAGCAGAGAGTGGTGGTGAACGGTTGTTTTTCTGACTGGAGGGAAGTGTGCAGTGGTGGGGATCAGTATTGGGACCACAGCTGTTTTTGATCTGTATAAATGACCTGGACTTGGGTATAGGGAGCACTATTTCCAAGTTTCCAGATACTAAACTAGGAAAAGTAGTAACCAGTGAGGAGGACAGTAACAGACTGCAAATGGACATAGACAGACTGGTAACATGGGCAGACACGTGGCAGATGAAGTTTAATGCGGAGTGATGCATTTTGTGAGGAAGAATGAGGAGAGGCAATATAAGCTGATGGTACAATCTTAAAGGGGGTGAAGGGACAGAGAGACCTGTGGGTTCATATAAGTAAATGTTTGAAGATGGCGGACAGGCAGATACAGCTGTTAAAAAAGCATCCGGATACTGGCTTTATAAATAGGGGCATAGAATACACAAGTCAGGAAGTTATGATGAACCTTTATATAAAACACTGGTGAGGCCTCAGCGAGAGACTGCTCAGTTCTGGGCCCCACACTTTAGGAAGGATGTCAAGGCCTTGGAGAGGGTGCAAAGGAGATTGACCAGAATGGTACCAGGAATGAGGGCTTCAGTTATCAGGAGAGGCGAGAGAAGCGAGGGGTATCCTCCTTGGAGCAGAGAAGGTTAAGAGGAGACTTAATAGAAATTTTCAAAATTATGAGGGGATTCGATAGGGTGAACAGGAGAAACTATTCCCACTGGTGGGTGGGTGGGTAACCCGAGGGCACCGAGTTAAAATAGTTGTTAAAAGAAACAGAGGGGAGGTGAGGAGAAATGTGTTCACACAGCGAGTTGTTGGGATCTGGAATGCGTTGCCTGAAAGGCCGGTGGGAACCGATTCAATAACAACTTTTAAGAGAGAAATAGATAATTATTTGGGGAGGACAAGTTTGCAGAGCTATGGGGAGAGCGCGGAGGAGTGGGGTTGATCAGGGCTATGGGGAGAGCCCGGGGGAGTGGGGTTGATCAGGGCTGTGGGGAGAGAGAGGGGGAGTGGGGTTGATCGGGCTATGGGGAGAGAGCGGGGAGTGGGGTTGATCGGGGCTATGGGGAGAGAGTGGGGGAGTGGGGTTGATTTGGAAGCTCTTTTCAAAGAGCCGCACAGACACGATGGGCCGAATGGTCTCCTTCTGTGCTGTATAATTCTGCGATTTTATGAAGTTGTATCAGTCGGGACCACAACATTTAATATGATTTTACGTGAAATCTGAGTTACAAACTGTACAAATCCTATAAAATCTGATTTGATTGATAATCTACACTGTGCATGTGTAATTCAATGCTGCCGGTAAGTGCGGGGGTAATAATATTAATAATTAATGGAGGTAAGGGAGAGTGTTACGAGTTAGGGGATGGTTTGTTTAGAAATTACGACTAGTGCAAACTAATCTAACTGGTTTGGGTAGGAACCTGACTGGTACTCGGGTGAACATGATTTAGGTGATTATATGGTTTATAAAGATAAGATTTAGCCAATTTTACCTGTAATAATAATCCTTGCATTTGATACAGTGCCTCATCACATCCTCGAGACGTCTCAAAGCGCTTCACTAAATATACTGCAAAGTATTTTGTGGGTGAAATGCAGCAGCCAGTTTACCCCCAGAAAAAGTCAGGGAGTGAGTGAGAAAATTTACTTGGATGATTGTTAGCCAAGACACCGATGGGGAGAGAGAGAGAGCAGGGGATGGGGTTGGAGAAGAGAGCTCCAGTGGGGGAGCGAGCCCCAGCACAGACACCATGGGGAGACAGTGTAACGGTGAGCGTGTCTGGTAAACCCTGGCGAGCCGGTGTAACTAACGGTGCCTGTGGTTCCGCGGCAGGTCACGGTACATCAGTACGGAGCTGGGAATCCGCGAGCGACTCTTCGTTGGCGTGCTAACGTCAAGAACACGCTGAACACTCTAGCGGTGGCCGTGAACCGCACCCTGGGGCAGCGCGTGGAGCGAGCCGTGTACTTCACCGGCACCCGGAGCCGCAAGATCCCACACGGCATGTACATCGTGACTCACGGCGACGACCGGCCCATCTGGAACATGTACCAGACCATCAAGTACGCCCACGACCGGCACGGCAACGAGTACGACTGGTTCTACTTTGTCCAGGACGACGTGTACACGGAGGGAGACCGGCTCCGGGGGCTGGTGGGCCGTCTGACCATCGACACCGAGCTGTACATGGGGAGGCCAGAGGAGTTTATCGGTGGGGAGACCGAGGGCAGGTACTGCTATGGCGGCTTTGGTTACCTGCTGTCCCGCAGCCTTCTCAACAAGCTCCAGGCTCACCTGGAAAACTGCCGCAATGACATCCTCAGCGCCAGGCCTGACGAGTGGCTCGGCCGCTGCCTCATTGACTACGCTGGGGTCACCTGTGTGGACGAGTATGAGGTGAGGCGTGCTTCCCTCTCCCATTCCCCTCATCCCTCCCTCTTGTCCTCTCTTCCTCCCTCTGCGCCCAGCGACGGCCCCACAAACAGCCGTGGGTTGAGTGATCAAATTATTATTATTATTTCTGAAGAGGTTATTGCTCTCGGAAAGTGATCCCCCAATCGACTGGCAAGCTGGGAAACACAGGCGTCTGTCTGTGTGTGTGTGTCTGTCTGTCTGTCTGTGTGTGCGTGTATGTGTCTGTGTGTGGGTCTGTGTCTGTCTATCTGTGTCTGTCTGTGTGTTTGTGGAGTAAGGAAACTTGCATAAGTTTTGCATAAGTTTTGCCCTGACCCGCCCGGGAATCGAACCGAGGTCCTCTGGCTCGCGAGGCAAGTGCACTGACCACTGAGCTACAGGACGATGTGATTCTATGATAATTCATATGAATTCATATGAATTATGAACTGTTCACTGGCCACAAGCCTGAGCAGGGAGAGAGGCCCGAGACACCAGCACAGTGCAACCACTATACACAACACAGCACAGCTCAGCTCAGCACAGCTCAGCTCAGCACAGCACAGCACAGCTCAGCACAGCTCAGCACAGCACAGCTCAGCTCAGCACAGCTCAGCTCAGCACAGCTCAGCTCAGCACAGCTCAGCACAGCTCAGCTCAGCTCAGCACAGCTCAGCTCGCTGGAGGTGTTGACATCTCTCTCTCTCTCTCTCTCTCTGTCTCAAAAGAGAGAGAGCACTCGCCTCCCAAGTGAGAGGACCTGGATCTGATTCCCGGGCGAGTCAGGGCGGAAGCTTAGGCAGATTTCCTCACTCCACACGTTTCTGTTTACCGGACGTCGCTGGGCGCAATTGGCTGCCGCGCTTCACTCACAAAATACACAGTCACTACACTTTACAGTGTCTCCTGTGAAGCGCTTTGAGACATCTCAACAACATGGTAAGGCGCTGTAGCAAATGCAAGGATTATTATTATTATTATGAAAGCTTCAAGCAGCTGAAAGTCAACACCAGTTGGAGATTGCAGGGCAACGGCAGGTAATTGGAGTTGAGGTACAGATCAGCCATGATCGAATAGAATGGTGGAACAGGCTCGAGGGGCTGAATGGCCTCCTCCTGTCCCAACGGCCCTAAAGCTTCAAGCCATACTGCAGACTTGTGTACAACGACGCCCACCTTCACCCAGGACAAGGGTCATGGAGCTTCCTGTGAACGAGGGACAAAGACCTACTGGGGAGGAGAGCCAGCTCCCATCTGTGCCCTGTTCAGGCGGACATTAAAGATCCCACGAGACTTATCGGGAAAAGAGAAGGGAGTTTCTCTCTCTCTCTCTCTCTCTCTCTCTCTGTGTGTCTGTCTGTCTGTCTGTCTGTCTGTCTGTCTGTCTGTCTGTCTGTCTGTCTGTCTGTCTGTCTGTCTGTCTGTCTGTCTGTCTGTCTGTCTGTCTGTCTGTCTGTCTGTCTGTCTGTCTGTCTGTCTGTCTGTCTGTCTGTCTGTCTGTCTGTCTGTCTGTCTGTCTGTCTGTCTGTCTGTCTGTCCTGCCTGGTGAGGCTCAGTGTGAGCTGGAGTGGAGCCCAGTAGGGCAGAGTGACAGCCAGGCACAGCTCCCAGCTCTGAACAACTCTTTCCTGGAACCCAAACTAGATTCCCTGGTAGTGTTGGCTGTTTCCAGGTTCTGTCCTGTCATCAGTTGCTGATGTGGCAAAGAATGGATTTGGACAAGAACGTGAAGAGCCCCTGAGACTTGTTCAAGAGAGGGCTGAGGCCGGGGGGTGGAGGGGGGGAGAGGGAGACGGCTGAGTCAGTGCCTTGGAATGGCCTCCTGATGCTGCACTGATGTAATCAGTTGTTGTTGAGACCTGAGCCTGTCGGTGCCTGAGGTCAGGGCTGTGGATTGGGCGACCAAATTCATTTATTATTTATTTATTTTTTGGGGGGAGGGATTATTACCCCCGGAAAATGATCCCCCAATCGACTAACAACAAGTTCCTACTTACTGCTGGTAAACAGGCGCGTGTGTGTGCGTGTGTGTGGATTAAGGAAGTTTGCCTACGGGTCACACTGCCCGGAAATCAAACCCAGGTCACCTCACTTGCGAGGCGAGTGCTCTAACCACTGAGCCACAGGACTTGATTCTCCCCAACCTTTGCCAATCTCACAGTGCGTGTCTCTCTCTCTCTCTCTCTCTCTCTCTCTCTCTCTCTCGCTCCCCCAAGGCGTGCGTTACCGCTATTTTGAGCTGGGGAAGAACACGGACCCTGAGCGGGAGGAGAGGCTCCAGTTTAAGAATGCCTTCACCGTGCACCCAGTGCTGGAGCCCACACAGATGTACCGTCTCCACAAGCGCTTCACGGAGATCGAGCTCGAGAGAACCTACCAGGAGATCAGGCACCTACAGGTGGGCACATAGGCTCTCCCTCTCTCTCCATCTCTCTCTCTCTCTCTCTCTCTCTCTCTCTCTCTCTATCTTCGCTCTTTCTACTCTCTTTTCTTGCTCACTCTCCTCATTCTTTCTCTTCTGGCTCTCTCTCTCTCTCTTTGAGTCTCTCTCTGTCCATCTCTATTGTTCTCCCTCTCGTTCTTTCTCTCTCTCTCTCTCCCCGTCTTTCTCTTTCTGTCTCTCTCCCTTCCTGACACTCCCTTTTTGCCACTCTCTATTCCTTTCGCTCTCTTCCTCTCTCTCTCTCCGTCTTCCTCTCTCCTTACGCCTTGCCCTTTGCTCTCCCCTGCCCCCCCCGCCCCCCACACCCCCCCAGGCTGAGATGAAGAACCTGAGCGGGCTGACACCAGGGGAGGAGGTTAGGGAGTGGCCAGTGGGGGTTAACCCCCCCTTCCGGCCCCGCACACGTTTCGAGGTTCTGCGCTGGGATTACTTCACGGAGGAGCAGTTGTTCTCGTGCCTGGACGCCTCCCCCAAATGCCGCCTGTGTGGGGTGGATCGCGCAGACGTGGGGAGTGTGATCGAGACGGCGGTGGAGGAACTGAACCGACGATACCAGCCAGTCCTGCACCTCCGCAAGCAGCAGCTGGTGAACGGCTACCGGCGCTTTGACCCCACGCGGGGGATGGAGTACACCCTGGACCTGAGGCTCGAGGCCCTGACGCAGAGAGGCCACACTCGCTCCATCACCCGGAGGGTCCAGCTGCTGCGGCCACTCAGCAGCGTGGAGATCATCCCCATGCCGTACGTGACGGAAGCCACGCGTGTCAACGTGATCCTGCCGCTCACCGCCCAGGACCGGCCCGACGCCGCCCGCTTCATCGACCTGTTCGCCCGCAGCGCGGCCCCCGACCAGGCCAGAACGCCGTGCTGACCCTCCTCTTCGTCTACGACCCCCTGGAAGCCCAGCAGGTCCATCAGAACGACGTGTTCGCGGACGTCAAGGCCAAGGTGGGCGAGTTCGAGCGGAAGCACCCGGAGGCCAAGATCCCCTGGATCAGCGTCAAGACAGACGCTCCGTCGCAGATCAAGATCATGGACATCGTCTCCAAGAAGCACCCGGTGGACACCTTGTTCTGTGTGGCCGAGGTGGGGACCCAACTCAGCCCCGAGTTCCTGAATCGCTGCCGCATGAACAGCATCAACAACTGGCAAGTCTTCTTCCCGATCCACTTCCAGGAGTACAGCCCGCTGGTCGCCTACCACAACCAGGACCTGCCGCCCGCCCCCGACCTGGTGAAGGACGCCGGACACTTTGACCGGCACGTCTTTGAGGAGGCGTGTTTCTACAACTCCGATTACATGGCCGCTCGAGCCAAGATGGCCTCGGACGCGCTGGAGAACGAGGAGCTGTTGGAGACCATGGACGTGTACGACGTGTTTGTCAAGTACTCAGGGCTGCACGTGTTCCGGGCGGTGGAGCCCGCGCTCCGCCACCGCCACCGCCAGCGCGGTTGTAACCCCCGCCTCGGGGAGGAACTCTACCATCGCTGTGTCCAGAGTAGCCTCGAAGCCCTGGGCTCCCGCTCACAGCTCGCCATGCTGCTGTTCGAGCAGGAGCAGGGCAACAGCACCTGAGACGGTCAGCGAGGCAGCCAGGGAGAGAGGGAATGAGGGAGAGAGTGAGGGGGAATGAGGGAGAGAGAGAGAGAGAGAGAGAGGGGGAACCTCGAAGCAGTGACGAGGGACGGAGGAGGAGCTTGAGGCTGGAATGGACTGGACATGTTCTCGCTTTGACCTCCTAGCCTGAAGTCACCTTCTCCATCGTCAACCCCCACTCTTCCTCCTTCTCTTGCTCCACCCTCCCTCCTATCTCTCTCCTCCCCTCCTCTCACTCTCTCTCTCTCTTTCCCTCCCCCTGAACCTCTCATTCTCTCGGGTGAGATTCGGTTAATGACAGAACTATTTCCAAATACAGGTTTTGTATGAAATTCCACACAACTCATATGTTGTCCTGTTTCTTCTCTTCCCCCTCACAACCCCCCACACACAAGCCCCCTCCCACACACACACACACACACCCACCCACACACACGCTCACAACACCCCCACCCACACACACGCTGAGTCTACACTCTCCACAGACAAAGCAAACTTCACCCTGTCCACGGTGAGAAACGTATCTCATCCTTGGCCGTCCTCCTCTGTCTGTGTCTATCATTCTTCACTCCCATCACTTTTATAACTTCTCTCTCTCTCCACCTCTCCCTCTCCCCTCCTCTCTCTCCCTCTCCCCTCCTCTCTCGCCCTCTCCCTCTCCCCTCCTCTCTCTCTCTCTCTCTCTCCATTGGGTAAGTCAGAGACAATGTGCTGTGTGCGGCTTTAACCCATTCCTCCCCATAGCCCGTCCCTGACCCAACCCAGCACTAACCTACTAACCTTCGCTTTTCGCTGTTTGAAGCTTCCACTCCAGCCTGTAACTCCTCCCGTGTGGGGTGGGCGGGGGGTGTTGGGGTTGTTATCCAAGATATACAACCCATCCCAGACAAACCCCTGGGTTGGGTTCCAGCCTCTAACTCACTGCTGTGGGAGGGGGGGTTATTGTGTATATACCACCCCGCCCCCCCGCTTGTTTCGATTGCAAGCTCGTGGCTTTCACTCATTTCTCTGTGTGTCTCATTTACATTCAGTCTCCCGTCCCCTTACCCCCCTCTCTCTCCCCGCACTCTCCTCTTATTTCCCGCCCTCCACCCCCCGTGTGTTACCCTGGTTGCTGTGCTGTGTGGGTTCTATGCTTGTCAGTGTGAATGCCGGGCATGGTAATGGAGTGGGTGGGTGTAGAAGGTTGTGGAGCATGGCGACCTTGCTCAGGGTGGGTGTGTGTGAAGATGTTAGGGTTGGGGGAGGGTTTGTTGGGGTGGGGGGCTGAGTGTGGGGGGTGTTGGCAATGTGGACTGGGGGTGACGGAGCTCTCTGTGCCCACAGTGAGGATGGTAATGGCTGGCACCGAGCCGAGGTGGTGGGTTGGGTTGGTGTGTTGGCAGGGGGTTGGGGGGAGGAGGCTGGGTGTTGGGGTGGGGGTAATGATGTGATGTTGGGGCTGGGTGTGGGGGTGACGGAGCTCTCTGTGCCCACAGTGAGGAGGGTAATGGCTGGCACAGGGCTGAAGTGATCCGCCTGGAGCAGGATGTCTTCACGGCTCTAGCCGGTCGCGGTGATCTCTACGTCTATAAGACTGACGGCTTCTGGAGCCAAATCAAGTCAGCAGGGTAACAGCACCCACACACTCTTTCTCTGTCTGCAACTCTCTCTTTGTCCCTCTCCTCATTCTCTGTATGTCTCTCCTTCCACTATCTCTCTCTAAGTCTGTGTGTCTCCAACTTTATCTCTCTATCTGTCCCTCTCCCTTCTCTCTGTCTCTTTCTCTCCATATCGCTCCTTCATCCTCTCTCTCTCTCTTTCTGTCTTTCTTTTTATGTCTCTCCATCTCGCTCCCTCCCTGACTGTCTGTCTATTTATCTCTCTCCCTCCCTCTCGACATCTGTCTGTCTCTCTGTCTCCCTCTGTCTGTCTCTTTCTGCCCCCCTCCCTCCCTCTATGTCTCCTCCGTCTAGTCTTCTCTCTTTTGTCTCTCTTTCTGACTCTCTCCTGTTTCCCTTCTCTTCTCTCTCTCCCCCCTCTCTTTCTGTGTATCTGCTACAGTAAGCTGTCCTCTGTCCTCAGGTCCGCTATTTACGCTAATCGCTTGTACCTGAACCAGTACGAGAGCTCCCACCCTGACCGGCTGGCCCCCACACACAGGAGGGACCCACCATCCTCGGTATGTCCGACCAGCAGTGTGGAGGGTGTTGGGTGGGAGCAGGGCTGCCTGGAGCCAACTTTTTGCTGAGTTATAATAATAATAATCCCTCCAACTATCTCGTCATTGAGACGTCTCAAAGCGCTTCACAGAATATACTGTAAAGTGTAGTGACTGTGTATTTTGTGGGCGAAACAGCTGTTGTTTGCTTTGGTTAGTCCATTCTGCCTCCTCGCCCACTATTCCCCTACCCACATACCCACCCACACCCCCACACAGTCATCCCCACCCGCACACGCTCCCACATTGACCAGGAGTCTCCCAAATCCCAATCATTCTGACTTCTATTCTTCATTTTCCAGGAAACGTTTACATCCACCCAACAGCAACCATCGATCCCTCCGCAGTGGTAGGTGCTGTCACCCTCCCCCCCAACACACACAGCCCCCTCTCACTCACACACACAGCCCTCACACACACACACGCCCCTCACACACACACACGCCCCTCACACACACACACGCCCCTCACACACACACACCCCCTCACACACACACAAACACAGAGCTCCTTCTCCGTAAATGAACGACCCTCCTACTCCCGCACAGCGCCCCCCCCCCCATCCGCCTGGTGAGACAGTGGTCTGTATGGTAATGGTTCTCTGACCTTTCCCCCAGCAGCTGGGCCTAACGTGTCTATCGGGACGGGGGTGACCATCGGAGCCGGGGTCAGAGTTCGGGAATCCATTATCTTACACGGAGCCTCACTGCAGGTCAGGCCTGGTTGGGTGTGGCGGGGGGCGGTGGGGGGGGGCAGCAGCTTGTGTGTTTAACCAGGTCCCGGGTGGTGGGAAAGAGGATGGGGGGTGTTCACTTGGCTGTGGATCTTCTCTGGGGAATGGGGTGAATTCCGCTTGGCGTTGATGGTGGGGGCTTGGTGTGTGTGTGTGGGAGGTCACTCTATGGGGGCTGTGTGTGTGTCTGTGGGGGGGGGAGGTGGGGGAGCTGCGGCGGTGGGGGTGCTGAGTTTGTGTGTGGGTGGGGGCTGGTCACTGACAACACCTACCACTGAGGTTTACCTATTTCTGGAGAGTATTAGGCGGAGGTTAGTTGGCAAGAGCCAAGGCTGGGGGGTGGGGGGGAATGTGGGGGGAGCTCAGTGTGTGTGTTGGGGTAACTGCTGGGGTCTAACCAGCTAAACCCACACAGTTTAAGTCTCACTGTGTATTGCCCCGGTCTGTGGCAGGACCACAGTTGTGTGCTGAACTGTATTGTGGGCTGGGACAGCAGCATAGGGAGGTGGGCTCGAGTGGAAGGCACTCCCAGCGACCCCAACCCTAACGACCCCTACGCCAAGATCGACAGCGAGACCCTCTTCAGTGATGGCAAGCTTAACCCCTCCATCACCATCCTCGGTAAGAGATCAGTCCCACTGCGAGGGGCGGGGGGAGTGGGGAGAGTGAATGGACAAATCTTATCATAACAATAATCCTGGTGTTTGACCCGGCCGCCTGATCATGTTGTCGAGACGTCTCAAAGCGCTTCACGGGATACAGTGTAAAGTGTAGTGACTGTGTATCCTGTGGGCAAAACACAGCAGCCAATTACACCCAGTGACGTCCCACAAACAGTGGTGTATTGAATGACCGCTTTTTTGGGGGAGGGATATTACCCCCGGAAAATGATCCCCCAATCGACTAACAACAGTTCCTACTTACTGCTGGTAAACAGGCGCGTGTGTGTGCGTGTGTGGATTAAGGAAGTTTGCCTACGGGTCACACTGCCCGGAAATCAAACCCAGGTCACCTCACTTGCGAGGCGAGTGCTCTAACCACTGAGCCACAGGACTCCACATAAAGTGGAGTGACTGTGTATTTAGTAGGTGAAAAAACAGAGAATTGGGTAAATATCTCAAACGTGGAAATATAAAAATATGTGGGTGGTGTTGGGGGGGGGGGGGATCAGGGATTGAACGTGGGTGGGGGGAGGGCTGGGTGGGGGACACCCACTGCCCTCTGAGCTGTGACTCTCTCTCTCTCTCTCTCGCAGGCTGTAACGTGACAATTCCCGCCGAGGTCATTATCCTCAACTCCATCGTCCTCCCCCACAAGGAGCTGAACCGTAGCTTCAAAAACCAGATCATCCTGTGAGGGTCAGCCTGCTCCCCCCAACACCCCCCTCCTACGCAGATCCCCCCCCACTCCTACCCAGATTCCTCCAACAATGCTGCCTCCATGAGGTAGGGGGAGTGGTGGTGGGGGGGGAAACTGGATCACTTTCAAACCCCCCCATTCCACTGCCACCAATTGCCCCGGCTGCTCCCCCCCCCCATTGCCTCCCCCTGTTGCCCCTCCAGGATGAGGGTGTGAGACAAACCTCACCTATTCTCAGACTTCAACGATTAAATTTCCGGTAGCTCTAATTTGCCGTGTGGTTTATACAGTGATGGGTGGGGGGGGGGGTTTGGGGGGGAGCAGGGAATGGTTTGTTGGGGGTAGGGGGAGGGAATGGTTTGGTGAGTGGCGGGGAAAGGGAGGGTCAGTGATTACCCACTGATGTCCCACAACATTCCTCATCACATTCCATGTGCTAATTATCACACGGAAATCGGTTACGAGAAGTCATATTATACACCTCTTTTTCCCCCCCCACCCCAAAACCCCCCCCCACCACTTTGTAAGAGACTCTTATCCCCAAAATGCCGATGTTCATTAAATGTCAACATTTTTATTTCAGCAGAAACAGGACAGAGGCACACACGCCAGCCCGGTATTGCGGGGCGGGGGGGGCAAGTACAGTGTGGCTCATCACAAATACTGACCCGCCCCGCACACACACACCACCATCCACTTCTCTCACCCCGCCCCCCCCCCTACTGACCACTGGTAACAGAAATATCCTGGCCTCAGCTCAGTTTGCATGCAATTAAGGATTTTTCCTCCCTCCGTCAGTCTTTCTTTCTACCTCCCTCTCCATCAGTCTCTCTCACTCTCTCTCCAAGTCAGTCTCACTCTTTCTCTCCCCCCCCCCCATTAGTCTCCCTTTCCCTCCCCCCCACCCCCCCTCCATCAGTCTCTCTCGTTTATCCCTCCCTCAGTCTCTCCACAGACTATCCCCCCCTCCCGCCACCAAAACCAACTAACAGGCTCCTGGACACGAATTCTAAAGATTCCCTCAACCCATTCCCCCCCACCCCCACCCACCTGCTCCACACGAATCACTGTCAAAGCCGGACCCCATTCCCATCTTCAGGCCAAGACACCAAAGCTCAGAGCCCAAAGAGACATGTGGAACCCTCTCTCCTCATCCTCCAGCGTTCCCGTGCTGACCAGATGCTGCTCCTATTTGAGGGTAGGGCTTGGGAACAGCCTCACCCTGCTTTGTCCCCCGACCTGAGAGAGAAACATGTCGTCACACAGA